TCACACACACACACACACACACACACACACACACACACAGATGTAAGCAAGACCATATATATCCATCTTGCTCACACATGGAACCCTTCTCTTCCTCTCGCTCTCAGTTCTGTGGAATGTCCAGCTGGTCTGTGTGTGTGTGTGTGTGTGTGTTCACAAGAGTATATATAGCTGACCAGGGTGCCACACACACACCTGTGGCAAATCACCATGAACAAACGTATTTCCATTCCAACCCAAGAAGGTTCAAAAGGTTTTAAAACATCTGAACATCTTTAGGCTTCACATTCTGAAATCCTAATGAAACATGTACAAGGGGGGGGAGGAATTTGCTGGAACGCCACAATTATGCAGGAGCTGCTCCAATCCGATTTCCGTTCAGGATAACGAGGTATGAATCCTCTCAACGGAAATAAGCGTTCATATGACTCCCCAGCCGCTATTCCCAAGCTTCCCGAGCTTATTTCGACAATGGACGCTTTGTAGCAACCTTTCGTCTGAGGAATGTAAGGCATGAGGGTCTGGATCAGACTCCTGAGCCCAGAGATGTGAGGAACAGGCGAGGTCCTGACTGCTTACCTTAGATTAGCTTTTTCTGTGTGGATATGCACACACATCATTAAGCCTGCCTATTCGTTTAATGACCGCTTACAAAAACTGAGTAAATGTCTAGCCATTTGATAGTTCTAGGTAGCAGGGCATGTGACGTTTGTTTACTTGCGAATACTTGATCGCGTCGAACACCTTTCAGTGTGAGGGATGTAAGCAGTAACACTTTAGCCAAAACATGAGATCTCAAGACAGCTGTCTTGTGTCACCTTCCACCTTCTGCAGACAACATGACACTCAACAATCCTTCCCTTCCTTAATAAAACAAGTCCTATCATAGGCTCTGGAAGTTCAGGTCCAGCTGGGCCCTCATGAGAGACAATCCAAGTGTAAATTAAATTGCCCATTTAAAAACTTCCTCCAACACTCGGCCTAAACGGCTGCAAGCCAGACTGAGCAGTTATAAAGAGATTGTCAGGCGGCACGCGTGGTCGAGCCAAATGGCTGAGTTTAAAGCCTTAATGAGGACCATACTGCCTGCTTGAGCTCATTATCTGGCCCTCAGATAACACGGAGACAAAAGGCACCTCAGTACATGACCCAGCAGGATGCATGTGTGTGTATTGATTAGTGCTGGTGCATAGGCACTCTTCAAAGCCTGGACGTTTAGCCCCTGGTCTTTTTGACTGCAGGGGTTGACGCCCTTCATCAATAAGGGGCTTATTGATAGAGAGAAGAAACCCAGGGGGGCAAGTTCAGGAGAGACTGACTGTTAGGCATTCAGAAACACATGCTGATTTCAGTCTCTGGCCTCAGATGAGGAAACACACACACACAAACTCTCTTACACAGATGATGTACAGTTTGGGTGTCACTTGGCCAAGTTCTAGTGACAAGAACAGGCCTGATAGCGGGGGCCTTCGCAAGATTTTGCACAAGCCTGGCCAGAACATGAAATGAACCTAACTTTCATAAACATACTATTATCAGACAAGATGTGAAGGATCAGTACTGGCCTGCCAAATGGGGAAAGATACAGCTGCTTCTCCTCTGCTCTTCTGTCTTTTCTCAAATGACAGAAAAACAAAAACACCAAGAAGACAAGCAGAGCCTGACCTACTGTACTCCGGATAAACACAAAGACACGCAATGAAAATTCGAGTCAAAGAAGGCAACCAGGCATGAACTGGAATAAATGGTACCAACAACAAAGCAACAGCCCAATTCAAGCACTTCATTATCACTTACAGTCAAGAAATGTCTTATTATGTGACCCAACAAAACTGCAGTCATGAGAACGGCCAGAAGACAATAAGGCTCGTAATTTAACGCTGAAAAGCTGTTCTTTATACGGGTCTGCTCGGCAGTGGATAAAAACGAATGCAAACGACTAATTCGTGTACGAGACCGTCTTGTACCACAAAAATCGGAATCTGATTGGTCAGGTGTTGATTCATGTCCTAATAATGTCCTTTGTGCTTTCCAATTTCTCAGTAACATAAGCTATGTTTCCTTGTCTTATTAACTTCAGGAGAGGGAAAAAAAAAAAAAAGGGAGGCTGGTGAGGGAACGACTGTTTAGAGCTAGCAAGTGATCAGAGGACCTAACTTGTTATGCAGACTTACGCTGAACTATAAAGGGTTAAAATTATGAGTTTGAGACGTGATGTTAGGGGAAAATGACTTGCCTTTATCGAGAAAGATACACGGCACAATGGGTGAATAGTCTCATGATGTGCAATTTGTTTGCTGTTCCCTCAATACTGACTCACTAAAAGAACCTAAGATTTAAATCTACTTTCTCGTCCCGATTTAAACCACGTAATCATTAAACAGTCCAGGATTGCGTAATCATGCAACTTGGTACTCTTAATCATCAACACATTTACAAGTGTGTGTGTCACCTATCCTGTCTAACAGTTTCCCATTCTGGCTCTCACTCCCTCTCTCTGTATTAACACCACTCATGATGTGAAATATACAGGTACACTTGGCCTAGACGGAGGCATTAATTAAAGCAAATGCCCAAAGCTAGGCCTTGAAAACCATTTCTATACACAAAAACACGCACAAGCGCACACACAGAAGTTGTACAGTGAGTCAAACTGCAATCCTGCAGAAATTACCCAGAGCATTTCATGCCAAATTCCAGTCTTTCCTTCGCTGGAAGAGAAACAGATCGGCGGGAACGAGGTAATTGCTTACAGACCATGGGATCAAGCACACTACCCTACCCTAACCCACACACACACACACACACACGCCTCCCAGGTAGCTCAACGTTACCACAAATAAATCAACACACTCTTGGAACGCAGTCTCTGATGCTGCGCTTAAAAAAAATAAAAAAAAGAAGTCCCATTATCACTGCTTTGTGGATTTAGGGCGCAAGCTGAAGTGATTCTCAGGAGATGCTGGTCTTTTCACATGAGCTCAGACGTGATGGTGCTGCGGTTTCACTCTTCAACACTCCCTAATGAGCGTGTCAGCACGACTTCTCAGCGTTTCCACAAAAGGGCGTGGAGGATCAGCTGTTCCTGCTTTTGTGTAACGGACGGTACTAAAAATGGCCAAGAAGCGCTTCTCAGAAATACTAGTAAGCACGCCTGATGATAAAGTAAATGCACCGTTACAGTGTTTATAAAAACGATCCCGTAAACCCAAATGGTTTATGATTTCAAGTGACTAAAGTTTTAAGCTTTTCACGTGTTGTAGTGTACGAGATGATCACGATAACATCTCAGCTGAATTCTACAACCGGAGCAATCTGAGATTTTAATTAAATAGGTCTCACATCACCAGAGCCTTCGTTGCTCACACTGGCACTAAATCAGCTGCAGGTGAGCGCGTCGCATTTTGCATCTTAACTCACGACCAAAGAAATTCTTCTCCGATACATGATACAGTGCTGAGTGCCGGTATTCACACCTCCAAGTGACAAGTCCAGACATGCTGAGCTTATCAGGTCATCAGGGTCGGCCCCTAAATGCTTCATGTCCTCATACAAAGACACCTTAAAACGAACAGATAAACCAGACTTCCCATGAGAACCAAGCGATGAATAAATAAACACTAACACAGGGGGTGATTTTTCGCGAAAGGTGAGAAGTCTCTGATTTGCATAAAGCTAACAGGTGACAGTCATACGTCAGCTTCTTTAATACGAAAATGAGAAACTGCAGCCTAAAACGAACCAGCTGCTGTGTATAAACAGGTTAGTACTACTTCTTTAACGTGGAGACCGATGAGTACAGTGCTGCTTGTTTAAAGCAAACTGATGTTTTTAATATTGGCACCCCTTTTTGTCTGGAATGCTTTTTAAATGTTTTAAGGAGTGCGAGTTGTAAGGACACACAAGCTCTGAACAACTGAAAATCATTTTAAAATAGTTAAGTGATTCATTCATGGACATTATTATTATTATTATTATTGTGTGTGTGTGTGAGAGAGAGATACATATGATGCGAACAGGTGAACTCTTACCTGAGGTGTCCCACAGACTGAGCTCAATCCTCTGAGTGTCAATCTCAAAACTCGCTGTGTAATTCTCAAACACGGTGGGCACATAGTTCTACACATGAAGAAAAAGTATTAACGATAAAAAAACACTGTTTTATACCATTTTAAACCGAAAAACTTCCCAGCAAATGTGTTTAAATAAAGAGCTTTTTTTTTATTTATTTATTTTTTTTTTACTCACCTCAGGGAAACAGTCCTTAGCAAAAACATGAAGTAAAGCCGTCTTCCCACACTGGCTGTCTCCCACCACCACTATCTTACATTTAACGTTCTGACTCGCGTCCATTCCTGGCTGAAAGGACGACTTCTGGCACGACCTTCTTTCCTTCATTTGTTAATTTTATTTATAAGACAGAAAATCCGTGCAAACGCCTCAGAGCTTGGCAACGCGTGACTCTCCGCAAGCGTCCTCGCCTCACTGAAACTCTACTCTGAACACGCGCGCGCGCTGACTGGCGTTTTATAAGCGGCTCCCAACCAATCAGAGAGCCTGGAGCAGGGTTCTGTCCACGCCCCTCCCCCCTTTTCCTACCGCATGCTGCGCGTGGATGTAGGTGTTTTCACGACAGCAGAGAAGTGATGCCAAGTATGGAAAGCCAAAAGTGACAAACACGTGTAACATTTTCTCAACGCTTTCTTGGTTATGATTCAGGTTTATTTCTTCCACAAGTTCTTTGAATCTATGATACTGTTATTTAGCTCACAAGAGCCACTTTTTTTCAGGCCAGGGTTGTCCTCATATTTAGATTTAACCACCCCATTTATCATATCTGACCCATTATCTGTCTGCTGAAAAATCCAGCTTAGTCCAAACACTAGCGATGGTAATTTCGATTCATCCCAGTGACTTGAATCTTTTCACCCAAAAAAATTCATCCAGATTCCTTCACTGATTCGTTCAGCTGGCGCTGATGAGTAAGTCATTGTTTGTGGTCCCTGGAGGACGGGTGGTTAGGCCTCGGTGCTCTCACTGCCGTCTCCCAGGTTCGATTCCAGCCAGGGAACCAACCCCAGCCACTAGTGTCGCACACGACAGTGCACACCCAGTGCCGGTCTCAAGCCCAGATAAAATTGGGGAGGGTTGAGTCAGGAAGGGCATCCGGCATACAAACTGTGCCAAATCAAACATGCAGACCAACGATCCACTGAGGCGACCTCTAATGGGAGAGAAAGAAAGAAGAAGTCAGTCACTCTTTCATTCCCTCAATATGCTCAGTTAAAAACGCCAAGTTTTCAAGAGACAAGTTCTAGTATTAAAGTGAGTTTAAAGTATTAAAGTGAGTTATTAAAATTGGCATGTCCAATCCACAAAGAGAAGGACATTTCAGTCAGTGCAGACTAGTTTTGAGAAAGTGGTCACTGTAATTAAAAAAAAAAAAAAAAATCACATTTTTACATACGTGTATGAAGTAGTTTTCAGTGCTACAATAATTTAAAAATATCCATCAGTCATTTTTACCCAGATAGCAAAATTGGTTGTGGGCCTTATCTGGTTGAATTTAGGCCCACAAACCACCACGGCCCACTCCCCTCAAATGGCCCTTAAGCTGCAAACTCATGCCAGAGCTCAGCCTAATGCTGTTTCACACAAGACTGTGAAAAAAACTGTGCCAGAATTAAACCAGAAGGGCCTAAAGTAAGCCAGATCTCACCCAGATTTTTTGCCATCAGGGTATACATTCATGTGTAGAGGATTATGCTATGAACAGCACATTGGTGTACAGTGGATTATGCTATGAACAACACAGTAACAACACACAAGGCTTGTCTTAGTGCTACACACTTTTCAAATGCACTGTTCTGTCCTCTTTCTCTTCTTGTAGAAAGGGTGGCGAACTGAACGAACGACATGCATATATCAGCCGAGCCGACATCAGTGAGTCAGCGAATCCTCGTTCGTTCACGAACGACAGCGGGCAGTGGTAGCTCAGTGGCTGAGATGTTGGACTACTGATCGGAAGGTCATGAGTACAAGCTGCCACTTGAGCAAGGCCCTTAGCCCTCAACTGCTCAGTTGTATAAATGTCTCTCTGGATAAGGGCGTCTGCCAAATGCCATAAATGTAAACGTTACCAGTTCGCTCAGAATCAGTAGGTCTATTACTCTTGTTCAGATTCAAAGTAAGGGGCGTATTCATTCTATAGGTCCAACCAATGATATGCTCCTTCACAGTGGGCAATCAGTCTTTAAAAAGCAGGAAAAACCTGCCAAGGCAGTCATGTGTTTTACACAGGTAGGACTTAAGTGAACGAAAAATATGAGTCAGTACATGGACGTGAATGAGAAAGATTTGTTCAAAAACACTGATCATCACACACTCACTCTAGATTAGCAAAATGAGTCGCTTCGTTTCACATCATATAATAAATAGTTTGTCTCACTAGCTGTGTTTTGAAAGGTTAGTGGCAAACATTGTTGGAAATGGAGCAGCAAAGTGGCAAATTTGATCACAGCACACTTATCGCAGTGTCCGGGTAAAGCGGATTACCGCTCTCACAGTTGGAAAACTATTGCCTCGCCAGCGCAAAAACGTTTTGCCACTTATCTGAAAGCAGACTTAGGAAAAAGTCATTCTGGTTGTCAAGAATGGTTACCGTAAATCTGTTTAGCTAGGTATTTGCAAACAGGAAATTCTATTACTTCTTAGTTATATTAGCCTCACAGCTGCAGTGCAAATCTAAAGACTAGATTCCGACACCTAGTTTGTCTTGGCGGATCGACTACTGAAGGTAAGAGTACTAAAAAAAAAGTATCTGGACGTGACACTTTACCCCAGACATCCCCTGTTCCCGATAACAGAGACGTTCCAGCTCTGCATTCTTCCGTCTGGAGAGGTGATTTACTCAAATGAACAAAGGCCTCTTCAGATTCACTGCAGTTTATTGCCACTCGGGTGTCTTGTTTTTCTCCTTTATGATAGACAGAGACAGGGTTAAAATGTGTGTGTGTGTGTGCATCTGTTCTTCATTTTCTATACAAATGTTCTACCAGAGGGATGAAATTATAGAATTCAAAACTACATACATTGCATATACATATGCACAAAGGAACAAAGTTTGGATTCCTTTGATGTACGGTAAATTTTCTGTTACGCTAGCTGTTTAGGTGATGTTTGTAAGCGTGCACTCTATAATAGACTAGAGTTAGGGTTAGAGTTAGTTGGCCGTACGTATGACTGATATACAGTGTGGTTGGTGGTGTTAAACACTATCTGATTACTTAGGAAGATGTGGAGGGAGAAGAATGCAAGAAACAGACACGGTAATAAAACGCTAACAGCAAAATAGCGCTTTGCTATTGTAATTGTAGATAAGGTGATCTCATGCAGGACTGATGAAAATGAAAAAAGGTCATTATGCTAGCTATTGACATTAATAATGATAGTTAAAGCATACTCACCATCTGCGCTTTAAAAGATCAAAGTCTAAGAAGTGCTAATGATAAGGACTAGCTGTGTGTTTACCAACAAAGCACATGGTGTGAGATCTCGTAGCCTTGTTTTCATGGCTTGAACCACTCTCATGCTAATTTACAGAAATTGCTGAGGCCTTAATGTAGAGCAGATCCACATATGGAAGAAGGATGTGACATGACATTTTGAGATGTCTGCTTTTATGCCACGTATCTATGAAGGCTTCACGGGATGACAGCATGTCACCCATTTGGCTTTACGATGCTGTCATTATGTACCCACGTATAAAGTACGTCACACTCTTTTAAGATACCGTTTTCCCAGTGATCGTTCCGACAGAAAGAGCCTAGCATCATGGGAAATAACATAGATCAGTTCTGACCCACTGATCAGCAACGGAGCACAGGGAATTGTCATTAATGTGCAATGAGTGACCGCTTCCTCTGTGTTTTGTTAAATGAAAAGTCTAAGACCCAAAGGAACGATACGCCTTAAATCTGCACTGTAATAGCCCACTATCCTTGTGCAGTATATCCAATATAAATGTACAAGCAAACAAATAGTGTGAAGGTTCTGCACTAGTGACTAGAAGGTTGTATGTTCAAATGCCAAGACTGCCAATGTCAGACTCCTGAGCACAGCCATTTTTAAAATTGCTTTTTTGCTCCACAGACCGTTCTGTCAACAGCTGTTCACTCAGCAAAAGCTGCTAACATTTCCAGATTCAACTACCGTCGTGTCAAAGGTCTCCTTTTGGAAAGGTGACAAGTGACATACAGCGTAAATGAAAGAAGAGGAAGTCAAACTGGGAGGTAATTCTATAGCCGTGGAACACACACAACCTGTAGACATGCATTACTAGGCCAGGAAAAACCTAATACACACTTGCTGTCTGTCTTCTGATCTGAGAGTTGATGAGCTTAAAAGGTATCGGATTGCAGTGTGGGAATGGGATAGTGTGTGTGTGTGTGTGGTTATCTCATGAACTCAGAATATTTGGGTTACAAGTGGGGCCAGATGTGTGTGAACCACTACAAAATAATTGTAGTTAAAACAGATTAACCAATAAATGAATATATGAATTCACATAGCTTAGCTCCATGTCCATGAGTCATGAGATATGAGATATGATGGAATGTGTTTCTGCATGTGTGTGCTGGTTCAAGGGTGTTCCCCTTAACCACAGAGGGATTCCTGCTCGTTCTGCTTGATTGAACACTTCCGTCCCTGAACAATAACAAGGAACAAAAGCCTGAGTCACATCACTAATCTCTGGCTTCAATTTGCCATTAGACCAAAGTGTTAATTAAAAGCTCAGTAAATGGAAACCAAATGATTTTCAGGACACAACACACGTTCTGTTGGGTCAGACCTTGCTGATGTTCTCACGTCTGTGTTAAATTTAATCTCACATATGAAAACGTCTAAACAACCCAGAGGATGGAAATATACAGTAACCAAATTTGAGCAGCACCGGACTAGTGGGTTGATCAAATTTGATCTTAGCATGTTCATATTCTATGAATAAAAAAAAACATCTCTCATTTATAAAGAGAACAATGTGCTCTAATACGGTTTTTAACACACCCTTGTTACACCATGTCCTCCTTGGGAGATCGCCCCAGGGGGAATTCCTTCTCGACCTCTCACCAGGCTTTGACACGGTCAATCACAAGACCCTCCTGTCCATCCTTACAAGACTTAGTGGCTCAGCATGGTGGTGGATTAGTTCCTACCTGGAGAGATGGTCATATCAGATAACATAGAGGAGATCCACATCTGCTCTATTCAGACTCTCCACTGGAGTCCCACAAGGCTCAGTACTCAATCCTCTTTTATTGTGCTCTCTCAGTGAGGTAATATCCTCAACTCCCCCCCCCCCCCCCCCCCCCCCTAATCACTGCTATGCAACTCATCCTCTACATTACTCCCTCAGAGACTCATATCTCAGCTCATCACCTGAAACTGAATCCCAGCAAGTCAGAGCTGCTGTATATCCCTCGAGATACATCCCTGTGACGTCCTTAGAGAATTCTATCTGGCAACATAGAAAATCTTCTTGACAACCAACTATCATTCTCTGTGCATGTTGCTTGGTCATGTAGGTTTCTCACACACAAAATCAAGAGGTTTCAGCTAGTTCTCTTCCACACAGACCCCTCAGGTACTTGTTTTGGCCCTTGGCTTCTTGAGACTGGACTACTGTAACTGGATCAGACCTCTGCAAGTGATCTGAGTACAGTTTTCTCACATCATCCCATTGCTGCATTCCTTCCACTCCTTGTTGCGGCCCATACTAGTTTTAAAACATTAGCACGTGACAACAAAGCCAAAAATGGTCCATCCCTTACCTTCTGGAAGACCCCCTGTTCCGTGTTCTGTGTTCCCTTTGAGCCACAAGCAACTTGACCCACCATCCCTCAAAATCCAAGAAAGATATGCATCAAGACTCTTCTCTGTTCTGGCACCCAGGCGGTATGAACTTCCTCAGGTTGTATTTAAAAACTGAAGACCCACCTTCACTCTAAGTGAGCCCTAAACCTGTTTGAGAGAAGGCAACAACCCTGACTTGAATTCAGTCTATTTTATAGC